CTGTGGTAAGTCCAGGGGGTCTAAAAATTCCACGACTGAGAGACATTGAGGTGGCTTAAAAATGACAGTGCCTCCTGTGGCTGCCGGTGCTGCGTGTCCCTCCTCCCCAGGTGACAACCGGTGCCCAACACGAGCCCTAGAGTCATCGCTCAATGGCCACTGTAGGTATTAGCGAATGCAGATCCTATCGCTACGTTTAATTAGGCTGCTGTTTGCCAGGAAGAGGGGGGGAAATGCAAATCTGAAGTTGGAAGGGAACCGCGTCTTTGAGCCACAAGCTTTTATTAATGCCTATAATTAAACCACTAAGTGATTGTTCATTCCCTGGAGAGTTGGAAGTGTCATTCAGCGTTGTAGCTTTCAAGTATTAATCGTGTTTGTGGTTATAAATAATACAGCTGAGGGAGATAAGGGATGCTGTAATATGGAGAGTTAAGATATTGTTTCACTTAATGCGGCTGGACACGAATTTAATCATCTGTTTAATGCAGGTAACTGAATAAATGGACCCGTTTGAGTGCGTTTATGGCATCGGACTGAGCAGTAACTCAATTCTACTGGGCAGTCACTCAAAGCTGGAGTTTGATGACCTTTATTTTTAATATATCCTGACATTTTAGTAAATAGCTTAAAAATGGCTCTACTCATCCTATAACTGTTATCTCCTGAACTATTGAACATCTCGAGAGCAGGAGATTGCAACGGATTCTCTTTCTGTTGGAAAGAAGCACAGGTGAAATCCCACAAAACGTATTTCTGTTTTTTGGAGCGAGGGGCAGAAATGTGGCTTTTGGTGCTCTTTAAAACATGTTTGTCCTATGACAGAACGATAAAGCAGGATGAAACCACTGCACAGCCTGATGCTGATCCACATCATTTGACCCTGCTGCTGCAGTTGTGAGTAGAGAGGTGGATGACGGATTTTCTATTTAAAAAAGATGTTATGAGGCAGATAGGGAAGTATTTTCACCTTGCTATTTGAGATCGTGGCTTCCTCTCCAGGCTGCATCTCCTCTTGCATTTTGTTATTTCTCACTCATTTTTTTCTTTATTTTTTGCTCTGTATTACTGTTGACTTTTGTTTCTTAACCACGGTCTGCTTTGTTGGGCAGTAATAATAATGTCAGGCAGTTTTTAAGGCTCAAAGCAATTATGGGCCTTGGACAAAAGGATTCCATCATCCACTTTGATGCATCTGCATTGATGGAAAAATCAGTGGCTTCTTGGCATCTAAATGACTAATTTTACACCCACTAGACCCTGATTATTCATAGTGGCAGGGAGTTTATGAGCTGCTGGATGAATGGATCCTATAGATGCCATTAGCTTTAATAACAGGGAACTTCTACAACAAAGGCAGATGCTGGTAAAATCAATTACTATTCTCATAAAACATGTTAGTGGCTAACTTGTATAACCTTGTGGACTGAATAGGTACTGATGGGATCTTACTAGGATTCGTGGTTTGTAATTCATAGAGCAGCTGGTCCTGTGAGTCAAATATGTTTGTTTGGTGCTTGGATGAAGCAAAAAATTCTGAATTCCAGGACTTTCTGGTTACTTGTCATATGATTTGCCGTGGAAGCATGCTCAACTTTTCTCTTAATACCACATAAATTGGGCAAGGATGGGAGAAACATTATATAAGGGCATTTGACTACTGTTATTAAGCTGCTTGAAAATCCCACGGACTCTGCCCATCCTCTGTGTGCACAAATTAAACATTTTACTCTAGTGTCCATCGTTGTTATACAAAAAGTGTTCAGCTGCACCGGGCTTGCAGCCTGGAGCTGGAGGGGAGAAAACTTCACGTCCAAAGAAAATTGGTTTTGTGGCTTTGAAGTTGCCTGTGTTTCCATCTGGAATATTCATGCATGCGAGAGCTGCATCCTCATATGATTTGAAAAGGGGGGAAAAAAATGGAAATACACAGGGATCCTTTTTCCTCTAGGTTGTCTTTAGCCTCTTGCTTTAAAGTGCATTAGCAGATGCTGATTTAGGTCCCGATTGCTGAGTAGTGTCGTTGAGAAGCCTCCTGTTGACTCTAGAGATGCTTTCAGTGGTGGTCACTGGAACAAATGCTGCTTTAAGGATTGAATTTTTTCTCTTGGCAGCGACATGTTCTGAGCATTTTTATCACGTAAAGACACCTTTTTAAGGTGTCTAATTTAAAAAAAAAATTGGCTGGCACTCCTACCAAAGCTTTGGATGTGTTTGCATTTTGCCTGCCTTTATTTCAGAGAGACTCAGCCGTTTTTCCTCTGTAAACAGGTTTGATTAAGCTCTTAAAAGCAGGAATTTAAAGCTTTAAGGTTTGTGGCACGGACCTGCCTTGGCGTCGCGCCGCGCCGTTCCACAGGAGCAGGGGCTCCGGCAGCCAAGGAAGGGAGCTGTGTTGTATTTAGAAGGTTTTGTTTAATACTAAACTTGAGGAATGCTTTGAGAAACGGTTTTAGACCTGAATGCCGAAAGCTGTTAGGTTTTTAATAGCAGCGTAACCAAAATATGGAGCGGCGTTATCAGCTGGCTTCGTATCCGACGTGAAATCCACGGCGCGCGGGAAGTCGCTGGCGTCCCGGTGTGGAACTTGTGCCCTTGCCTGCACCGGCCAGGTGGGTTTCACCTGGGCCACGTCGATGTGTTTGCAGCTGATCTGCAAGGTAAATGGGCCAAGGTTTAATATGCCAAATATTAAATATTTGGGGTTGCTGTGGATATTAATCCGTGTCCTTACTGGGGATGGGATAGCTGGTTTCCTGGCCGGGTCGCTGTATCTACCCTGTGTTATCTCGCCGTAGAAGTGCCATCGTGGTCTTATCTTCAGGTCTTTCCCGTGCTCGGTGCTGCTGGGCTCCCCTCTCCGGAGGGTTTCCTGCTCCTTCTGCCCTCTTTGCTCTTTAGAGCTCCTCTAGCCGCCTCCCGAGGGTGGCAGCGCGTCCGTTTGGGCTGTGCCAGGATGTCACTCTCCTGGATTAATCGCTGCCCCTGTGCTGCCTAATGTGCCGTGTGGCTTCGGATAACGCACCTGCTGCCGCCGCCTGCCTGGGAAAGGAACCCGGTGATTTGTCTTCCTTGCGTTTTGAGGGACAGCAACACCCTGGAGCAGCGGGAAGGGCGGTCAGCCAGGCACGGAGCGCGTCCGCCTTTGCCGCCGGCCTTGCCCGTAATGTCCAACAACCTTTGGGACAGCAGGGAGGTCCCACGCTTCCGAAAGATGCATGGACAGGTAAAACAGTCCCCTGTTCCCCCATGGGGACAAATCCCCTGGCTGGTTTTGCTCCCCCTTGGTACTTGGCAGGTTCCTCCACGACCTAATCCGACCGCCACACGAAGGAAAACTGCTCCCGTGCGTTATCCTGTTGGCCAGGAGCCCGCTGGGAATCGGAGCAGGCACGGAGGGACACGCAGCGAGCGGTGCAGGCCGGGGAAGGAACCAGCACGAACCACCCCAAAGGGCCTGCAAGCAAGGGAAGACCCTTTGTTTACTCTGGTTGACACCAATATCCGTGTTTTCCGTGATATCCCTGTTTTCTCACCTTGGGTGGTGAGGAGAAACCTCACAGCTCGTATCTTGACCCCGCTGTGCAGAATTATCTATTTCTGGCCCACTTCTTTTTAGACCATTTCATGAATCATGTAGCTTGACGGCACACATGGACGGTGGCTCCCCTGCCTGGTTTGCAGCCTGAGTGAGAAGGGAGTGAGTTTGACAACACTCCTGGAGCCTGACCGTGGAGATGGTGGGTCTTGCACTTTCTGCACAAACATTCTCCTGTGCTGAGGATCGTTCTAGCTACCCCACAGTGCGTGGGCTTCTTGTGCCCACGGTGCCCTGGTGGCCAAGAAAGCCGGTGGCATCCTGGGCTGTGTGAGGAGGAGCGTTGCCAGCAAGCGGAGGGAGGTGGCTCTGCCCTGCTGAGACCACATCTGGAGTCCTGGCTTCCCCGATATGAGACATGGAGCTACTGGAGCCAGTCCAGTGGAGGGACACGGCGATGATGAAGGTGCTGGAGCATCCGGTCCTAGGAGGAAGGCTGAGGGAGCTGGGCCTGTTCAGCCTGGAGAGGAGAAGACTGAGGGGGATCTCATCCATGAGCATAAGTATCTGAAGGGAGGGTGCAACTGGCACAGGGCCGGATTCTCCTCAACAGGACAAGAGGCAACGGCAGCCACTGAAACACCAGAAGGTCCCTCTGAACATGAGGGAAAATCTGCCCTGGCTGGGAGGGTGACGGAGCCCTGGGTCAAGCTGGGGATATCAAGTGGGCATTAGTGTAATCCAGTATTAGATTTGCCCCTGGGCACTGTGAAAAAGATGGTTGTGTCATTGCTTAAGTGGCTTTGATGGTAACTTGGTGCTTTGCAGGGTGCTGCTGTGGTTTTTTATTCATTTTTGTAAGTGATTTTAATCATTGCTACTGAAATTTAATATGGGAAAAATAGTGCAATTGTGTAGTGTGAGCTAGTGTTGATCAATTTGTAGCTCCGTATTGGTATCCAGTCATAAGTAAGGAGGAAATGCAGCTTGTTCTCCCTTTCTGCAGGATCGTTCCGAACATCCCTGTAGAATAACTCTGTTTTTCTCCGTTGTTATTCAGATGATGTGTCCCAGACACATTGATTAATCTCTAAATGTTGTCTATTGAGATGGAGGATAAGTACCCTCGTTTCTATTGTTCTAATTCTGGGTAAAGTCTGTTACAATAAATGGTGCAGTATCTGTTGGATCTATTCAGGTCTGACTTACAGCAGTCACGTGTTTGTTTTCTTCAGTGCCTTTCTCCCTAAATCTAGAATATACTCCTTTATTCCTAGAAACGTTGTAAACTGATAAATATTCAAAATTCAATGCAAGCCGGGCATTCTTTAGTAGCACTTCCAGTTGTGTTTTATAAAATCTATTTCCCAATCTGTTTTGTTGGGGATGGTTTTGCCCAGCTGGGGGCCGCTGTAGCCCCAGGAAATCCAGCTCTGACTTCAGTTTTTGTTCTGTTTTCCAGGAGTTTTTTGAGAATCCTGCCTTTCGCCCGGATGGGATGAAGCTCTATCCGACGCTGGTGATCCGTGGCACGGGGCTGTACGAGCTCTGGAAAACTGGGAGGTACAAGAGCTACCCCCCCAGCACCCTCGTGGATCTGGTGGCGAGGATCCTGGCCCTCGTCCCCCCCTGGACACGTGTGTATCGCGTTCAGAGGTAATGATGTTCCTTGGTGGGCCTGGCACATTGATTTATTGCACAGGGAGGGGTCGTTACTTTAATTGCAGCAAGATGTGACTCACTCTTCTATTATTTTCCAGTCCTAATCGTTAGCGCATTAAAGATTTTTAAAACCGCTTCTGTCTGACTACGCGAAAGGCCAAGTAAAACAGGACGATATTTAAACTGAACTGCCTTTCTGATGTGCCCATATATATTTCCAGATTTCTGGAGGCCTCGCTGGTGCTGTCAGTTAGACCAAAGCATAGGATGTGGAAGGAGTAGTATGATGTTGATGGGAAAATTGCCACTAGACTGTAGATTAAGTTTCCTATGTTCAGATTCCATCTAGATCCCCACCTTCCAGAGAGCTAGGTAGTACTTACATTTGAGCTCTGTATTTTCAATGCCTCTCTTGGCTCTTTTTTCCTCTATTATTTCTTTCATCTGTCCGATGTTAAGAAGGGAGGCTGTGCCATCATTATCCATTTTTGTATGTGCAGACAATATTCAGTTGATTTCTAGCTATGTGAGTTGGAAGCAGTGCCAATGCATAGCACTCAGAGCAGGCAAAGTGAGAAAGCCTTACACACTTTTGGAGTACCTTTCTAAATTTACCAAAGAGGAGGAGAACCAAGTTATTACTATGGTGTAGCTTGATTAGATTTATGAATGTGATTGTGATCTGACAGTCTGTAGTAACTGAGCCGCAGTTTGAGATCCCAGGAGGTCCCTTCTTCAATTCTTTGTTCCTTTGAGAAACTGGGAGCTGCAGCTAAATTCTGAAAAGGGGAAATGTTAACCACATAAAGAAGGTAAAACATGTCTTACAGGATATCTTCTTTGATCAGAACCGCAGGCTTTTCACGTCACTCGTGGAAGCATTTTCAAAGGCAAAACTCTTGTCCTCTTCCTAATGCACTCCACTACAGACACAGCAGTGCGTTTGCTCATGATATTGCTGGCATAGCATTGTATCCAAAAATAAAGCTGCTCGTTTTACACGGCTATGAATTTGCAGCCTAGTGGGTTTTCTCCTAAGGAACACAGACCTGGAAAACCCACTCGTGCGCTGCGTCTGTCAGCAGCAGCAGCCTCCAAGCAGCTGTCATGCAGTCCTCGGTTATTACGTTCCAGTGCAATAATTGTTTTCTTACTGACTGGCTCGTGTTATCTGAAATTTGTTCTTGGTGATTACAGATTTTGACACCTCCGGTGCAAAGTGCAAAAGCTATTACTTGGATCTAAATTGCCTTCAGGATCATTGTGTTGCTCTGTAGCACAATAATGAACAAAGCCTGGTTTCTAAAATGTTTGCCCTATATTCCCAGGACTGCTTTGCTGGCCCTTACCAGGGTCTCTGTTGGGGATTTCTGTTCTCTGTTGGTTTTCAGGTTGCATAAGGACTGAACACTTCAGTAATTGGTCACATATTCAAAATTACCAGCTTAAGGAGTGGAGTGAGTGTGGAGGAGGCATCAGGACAGTGGAAAAACCTTCTGCTTCCAAAAACCTAGTTAAAAACGTGCAAAATGATTGTGAGGATGTTACTAATGGCTGGTTGGGAGAGAAGGTCTTCATGGGTGCCTCGTGATTGAGATGTTTAATACTCTATTTAACCAGAGTGCTTCAGAACCTGCTGTGCACCCAGGTGCTTTGGTGTGTGAGACCTTTCCTCCTATGGATCCCTGTGTTTTGTGTGAATATTATTTTCACTTTACTGATGGACATATAGGCCTGGAGAAACAGAGCACCCGAGTCCTTTGGGATCACCTAACAAGTCAAAGTTGAGGGTAGAATCCAAGTGTTTTGATTTGCACCGTGTGTGTGAACCAGCTGCTTCACAAGTGCTAACGTAGAGTGTTTGCCTGTGATTAAGAATCGAATCTTCGACTTTGAAAAATCCAAGATTAGATACCCCCTGTTGAATGTCCTGGCAAATAACACATTAAGTTTAATAAGGTCGTGATTTAATTCCAAATCCCTGATTTAGCTGGAGTTTATTTAGCATTTTAACAAGTCCTGAAATCACTAGTGCAATGTCTTTTGGCTGTCCAGAAAACACATCTATCTTGTATACCCATGATGTACATAGAATATTTACTGATATATCCTGCCCTGATCTGAAATGGGGATAAAAAAATCTCCCTTGCTTCTTTTTTCCTTAAAACTTTGTTTATCACAAAAGTGCATGTCTTGTTTTCGTTTATTCCCTAGTCGGCAGATGAGAGGCTACTGTATTTTGTATTCTCCATTTATTTGCAATAGTTTATTTACTCTTTCTTAGATGACTCTGGATTTTTGCTCAAGACCTACTTCAGGAAGATGCAAGTGCGTTTCATCCGTGCCCCTTTAGGGGCAATACGTGCAGCCTGACTTTTTGGAGCTGGTCCATAATTAGAGGAAAGGCATTTGGTTAGATTAGCACTGTAGATCTAACATGCCCTGATGAAAATGCTCTTCTCCTCCAGTGTGTCCCTTAGTCACAGTGTGAAGTGCTCATTTCCTCTAATTGAAGCCCTTTGAAATATGTTGTGTGGGCTCTGCAGCCTCTTATTTACTCAGAGAAATCCACTGAATAAATGAACTGGTTAGCTAAGTGTATTTTGCCTCAACTTTTCATCAGGCAAGTTTAAGAGGTGGGGAAGCTTTCTGAGACCCTTGGGCTTTAGAGAAAGAAGATTGAGGAAAGTAAGAAAACCACAAGGCCCCCAGGACCCAGCTGTCTGTTGGCAGAAGTTGTACCAAAATTGGCTTGTATTTAATGCTGAAATAGGAGAATACTGGCATCCGAAGTACTTGTTTTCCCTGTCAACAATAAAGGATCCCTCCTTTTCTTGCCCCCTGCCAGTGACTTGGGACAAGAGTGAAACAGCCCAAGGATGGGGCCTGCAGGACCCTCTTGGCCCATTACAGCTCATGTTCATGTACTTGCCCAGAATAGGAACTGCTAACGGTGGCCGTGATGTGAACACAAGTCCGCAAGGAACTGAGCAGATCTCAATTAACTCCCTTTATAGAGGTCATCAGACAGCTGCTCGATGGTGATGACTTTCAGTCACTACTGAACCAAGATGGATTAAGCTAATTACATTACCAATTCCCCAACCATCCAGTTCTCTGTGTGTTTTTTGATGATATTCTCTTCTTTGCTCTGCCAAGTGCTTGTAGAGAAGAAGA